TATGCCAGACTGAAGTCTCTGCTAAAGAAATGGCAGAAATGAAGGCGAGCCACCATGAATACGAAGCAAACGTCGCAAAGGAGGTTATCGCAAAAGGAGAAATATTCAACAACGAAGTCCTAGAAAGTTCCATCCGTGAACGACAACAATTGAAAGACGTTAACCTCGCTCTATCCGAAGCCAACGCACAGCTGAAAAGAGAGAATATGATGAGAGCTCCTATGTTCGGCGATGATGGTGCTGAAATTCAACAGAAGATCAGAGAACTGGAGAATGCACTATTGGAAAGCCAGAAGGAGACAAAGAATGTCATTATGGAAAATGCGAAATTAAAAGCAGAAGCACGAATGGCACCCATAGTCTCTCGGTACAGCAAGCGTCCTAGTTCCAGAGACCGCGGGTTACCAACCCACGCGTCCGAGGAAGATGAGATTCGGAACGCAAAAGAGGAGGCGAAGCACTACAAGGACGGGTACAATGAAATGACAGAGAGCCGAGATGAGATGTATGAATGGTATGCCGAAACCCACAATGAGTACGCCGAGGAAAGGGAGAAATCAATTGAGCTATCCGAGGCGAACAAATCATTGAGGGACAAGATTTCAGAAGCGGAAGCATCCTCTTCATCTCATCTTGCACCGGCAACCTCTACAATCATGAAAGTATCGAGGAAGGAAGAATCAAAGATAAACGTTCCGTCATGGCCCAGGATCAATGATCTTGGACTATGGAAGGCAAATCTCATTCAATCGATCATCATTGCGGCCAATGATTCAGATCAAGAGCCTTGGATCGACTGGATCAAAGAAGCCATGGACGACCCTGATCCGGACAAGTTTGTCGACTCAGGAGACCAAAGATTCCATTCAATTGATGCCAAACTCGGCCTAGCTCTTACCAAGGTCGTCATGGATGCGAAAGATGATGGTTCAGGTGTAGCTATGAAGTTGAGGACGAGGATCAATGCAAAAGGGAGAACATCAAGCCTCATAAAGGGAAGAGAGGTCCTAGCCCTGATCCTTATGAATTTCAAGACAACATCAAATGTGGAAGTCTTATATACTTCAATGCACCTCTACCAACTAGAATATCAAGGAGACAAGAACTTATCGTTGTTCTTCCACACTTGGGATGAGATTCTGGCAGGAATGAAGCCCGTTGACGTCCCGAGCGACGAAACTCTTCGGGATCTCCTATGGAGAAAGATTAGGAACTCAAACCTCATGGCATACGACATCAGCGCCTACAATAGCATGAAC